CATGAGTTGGTAACGGACATTAGGACCCCAGAATGCGTGTCATGAAAAACTGTGTTTTTGGCTAAGTGTAAAAAATGGATTTTTGAAATAATGATTATTTCAAAATAAATTTTCTCGGTAATAACTCTTTATACTTCAACTAGCCTAATTTGATTTTATCAGAATTTTTGACCAAGTCTACATTGGTCTACACAAGGATTCAATTTTACCAAAACAGCCAGAAATCTAAATTTGTACTAAAACTGAATTTCTACATTTTGATTTAGTTGGATTTCAATTTTTTAGTATTTTTTATTGAATCCAAATGGGGGGTACTTCCTTATTTAGATTGTAAACTTAAAGTAAATGGACATATAAATTAAAGTAAAGACATTTACTTAAATGTTTTCAATGAAAATAAGGTCTGTGCAGATGTCTTGTACAACACTGTCTAATCTGTTAACTTAGAACATTTTCTGAAGCATCAGTTCTATTTCGGTCTACCGAAATACAAGACCAACACACTTCGGTCTACCGAAACAGAGATACTGAGGATGATGCATCAGTTCTATTTCGGTCTGCCGAAATAGAGCACCAAATCACTTCGGTTTACCGAAACAAAAATGCTGAGAATGGTGAAACCATTTCGGTTGACCGAAATAAGAAGGGTATTACTTCGGTCTACCGAACCAAGAGTACTGAGAGTGATGAACCAAGCTTAAAACCATTTCGGACGACCGAAACACAAGGGTGTTTCATTTCGGTCGACCGAACCAGCGCGAATTCAAACTCAAACGCTTATTTCACCTAGAACTGAGTGCCCAACAACTATATTGTATATCAGATGTCTATAACTAGAGTTGGGGTTTTCTGGTTTCGAGTTGAGGCTTTTAAAAGGAACTTCTATAGAGTTTTTGCTCTAGTTCCTCCCTCTCCTTATGGAGCTTTTGCTCTAGTAGTCTATACAAGGAATCACCATTGAAATATATTGTATATCATTCATGTGATTCATCTTGCAAACTTAGAGTTGAGCTTTCATTTGATTATTTCATTTGTAACTCTAAGTATGAGAGCTTTGATTTGTATATTTGTCTATTTGAGAGACATTCATTGTGAGCTTCATTATATATCCATTCTTGAGAGAAGAAGACCAAGAGGTGCTCTTGGCAAGGGAAAGCTTGTTTAAGCTATTGTAATGGTTCTCTTTCTCAACCCGTAAAAGAAAGAAGGTGTCTCTCTAATGAGAGGATTTTGTAGAGCTCTCCACCCACAAGAGTGAGCAATGGTTCCTTCTTAGCCATCAAAAGAAGGAGAAGCAAGATGGCTTCGTTACAAGGTCGGTTCTTCACCCGCAAGCAAGAACATGTAAAGGTTTGCTCTCCACCCGTAAGGAGGAGCCATAGTGGAATCCTTGAGAGGTTTTCTCAAGGCATGGACGTAGGCTGAGGTTGTGCCGAACCATGTATATCGCGTGTCCTTTGGTTTGCAATTTCTCTAACTCTTACTCTCTTTATTTCCTTAACATTTTCCATTTCATGATCTTAATACTTTATTTATGAATGCTATGAGATGGACATGTTAATTTGAATATATGAGGAGGATGGGATGAATGCTTGGAGTAGGTTGATTGTTTGATTGATTTTAGCTTAGAGTATATGTTCTCTATTAGCCTTTTATATAGCTAAAATTATGTTGCACACCAAGTGTTTGACAAAATGCATATTCAACACATCCTTCACATTTAGAGTTTATAAGCATACCAAGTGTTTGATATATTTGTTGTAAACTCTATAATAATGTGTTTCGTGACTTTTACACCTTGAATATTACTCACATCAATATTGTGCAAATGCTAGTTCTAAATGGTTAATTGAAATTGAATGCATTGAAGCTAGAAAGAATTCATTTGTTAAAGCAACCACTCAAGTGTAGTAAGATCATTGCTTTGCATTCTACACATTATGCAATTTCTACATTACAACTCACTAGAAGAGCATTCATCACAAAGAATCATACATGGCTCCAAACTAAAGAGACAAGTAAAAGAAGCTTAGAGTAGCTAAACCGAAAAAGTTCCATAGTTTGCCAATGACCTTATTCACCCCCCCTCTAGGGTCATTACTTGGGCAACAGATTCAATTCCTAGAGAATCACTTTGTTGGATTTGAACGTGCACATCACGTTACTGGACTTTGCCTAGATGAACACCGATTGTAATTTTGGTGGTTGGAAAGGGATAGGTTCAAATCCCATATCACGTTGCTGGTGTAACGTGATCTAAGCCATTTGAGCTAGATAACTAATCACTCGTGGGGGAATATTTCTATACGTTTCTCACAGACAGCGCCAAATTGTAGGTGCAAAAATTCGTTCAACTTTGACAAGTCAATGAATTCTCTACAATCAGTACACCCAAAATAATAATAGAGAAAGAACAATGAACTAGAGATACTATATAGAGATGAGGGGGTATTTTGATGATATGACCGAACCTAGGATTACCTAAATTGCTTACGTATCCTGCCTCATGGGGCGTGGGAATCAGGTCGGAACGTAGTTCTAGCGATGAGAATTGGATCTCTATTTTTGGGGGCTTTGCCCTTTTTTCTCTGTGTCTTTAGTGAGGGTCCTGAGCCTTTTTTATATAAGAAAAACCATAATCGATTCCTTTTAGGACTCGCATTGCTTGTCCCCTAAGAATCTAAATTACATCATACTATCCTTATAACAAGGATTTACATCATTTGGTTTCCATATATTACAATCCTTCTTCTAATAGAACTGTTACTAAAATGGGTTTAGTAAAAAATTCGTAATTGAGCTTGGGATCTCATCATCTCGGGCCTTCTTAATGAGTTCAGCCCATTATGCTTAGTTAGGGATGGCAATTTCCTCCAACCCGCTAGGTTTCCGCCCCGCTTCGCTCCTAATGGGGCGGATTTGGTAGCTCCATAAATGGGTTTTGGACGGATATGGTAAAAGAATTGAAAACCCGAAGCGGGTTTGGGGCGGGGACGGATTTAGTGATGCCCCCACCCCACCCCCGCCCCGATTATATATATATATATATATATATATATATATATATTTAATTTAAGTGTCCATTAATATATTTTGACTAAATATTCGCTAGAATCACTACTTACTAAAATTCTACAATTGTGCACGTGATTCAATCTTCAAAGATTCAAGATCTTAGTATTCTATCACAAGTCCTGGAATTAATTCAACAGTTTCAACTTTACCGCAATTAAACGGAGTATACAGGGCGGAGTTGGTATTTTGTCTACCGGAGTAAGGGCGGGGATGGTAAACCAATTATAAACCCGTCTCGGAGTTGGAGCGGAGTTGGTATGGCGAATTTTTTAATGGGGCGGAGTAGGGTTTAGCCAACTCCATCCCAACTCCGCCCCGTTGCCGTCCCTATGCTTAGTTAACCTGCCCAAGCTTTTTGTAGAGGCCCAGTTTGAAGGTTGAATAGTTTCAGTATTTGTGGTGGTCCCCTTATGTCATGATGTGTCATGTCTTAATTTGGAAGGGGAGATTTTTGCCCCCACACATGGGTCTTTATTAATTAACTCAACAAGGCTTCATCCAAGCTCAATACCACATCCATTGGTCCCACTCCTCTTAATCCTAAACTAATTAACTTAAATAAATAAAATAATTAAATTAAACCTATTAAATACAAATAATTCACAATAAAATCACACAAGCATAAAATCACACATAGTCAAACAAACAATTCAATCTTAGCATTCCACAAATCAAAACATTACACCAATTCATCAAATATAATCACGAAATATAATTTAATTAAAATAAAACAATTAATCTAAGTACTAAATTAAATAAAACAAATCACTTAAAACAAAATAAAAATAAATAATCCCAATTAAATCAAACAAATTATTTTAAATAAAATAAATAAATTAATCCCAATAAATAAATCCTTTAGAATATAGGGATATTACATTCTTCACCCATAACAAAAGGAATTCCGTCCTCCGAATTCACAAATCTAAGAAATGAAAACTTTGATTATTTATTAAGAATGTGCTAAGCTGATCTATGCTCATTACATTTCTTTGCAACTTAATCTCACCAATTTATATGTGTTGGTAAACGTCCCCATTGTGTATTTTCTTACAGCAAAATACATAAAAATCAATTTTTCTACACATGGCGCAAAATACATATTTATATCCTTACCAACAATAAGTTATTGCCTAATAAATAAAATATAAATCTTTACATAGTGAGGTGATAACCTCCTTTCTTTTCTAATCAACATTACTCCCCCTTATGGGAGACAATATGAGTAAAAACTCATAATGCATTTATATACAATTGATAAAGTTGTCATAGCTTTCCTTTTTTATTGGTTTTGGCGATGGACACTATTTTCATATATTTAGCGCCGGTTTGGCAATTGTCTTTGCTTTGACTCGAAGCAAAAACAATGTTTATACTTTAAAGTGTGTTCAACACTATTTCAAAACTTGTTTGGTAATTTAAATTTATTATAAGATTTTTGGAAATAAAAATATGAAAGCATATTTAGTAAAAAGTGTTGCAAGTTTGAATAGTTAGTTACAAATGTTATTTTAGAAATATTTTTTTTTTTATTTTTTTTGTTTTGAACAATGCTTTGCTACAAGCAAACAAAAACAATAATTTTTATGTTTTCAATTTTGGCCTCAATTTTAGAAGCACTTTGATACTATTCAAATCATAACAAATGTTTCCAAATATGTTTTGTGTTTTTATTTCTCTACAAAATACTAACAAAATCAAAAAACACAAAGCAAAAATATTAGTCAAATAGATCCTTTGTTAGAAAAATTACCTGATAAAATGTTTATTTTGATTTGATTATCTTAAAGACTTCTTAATGTATATTTGTAATGGTAAGTTTGTTTTTTCATATTTTAGATTAAACTAGATATCAAAATATCCTTAATTGCAATAAATTCATAGTTCAAGGCGCACAAACGCGTCTGAAAGGGAAAGGGAAAGGGGAAGGTGGAAAGTGGAAAGTGGAAGGTGGAAAGTGGAAAATGGAAAGTGGAAAGAGAGAATGAAAGAAAACGAGACAATTGAGCTGTTCGAATTGAGCTGTTCGAGTCTGATGAAATGCAACATGGTGTTGAATGCTTCGGTTCAGAAGGGGGTTGTGGAAGTGCATGTTGACCCTGAGGACGATGAAGCTGTGAAGAAGATGAACCTCACAGTCACCGATAAGATGCTTACTCAGGCTTCCTATTTAATGCTCTCAGATGTACACACAGAAAACTTCGGCAAGGAAACCACCGACCGGGTGCTGCGCGAGGCCAGCCGCGGTTGGTTCAGCTCATGGATTCCTTGGTTCTAGGTTTACCATCTATCTATCTATCTATATTGGGGTTTATGTTCTTTAGTAGTAGAGAAGGGGATAACATGTATGTTTTGTTGGTTGGTTGGTTTAAGTACTTTAGTCCATATGAGGGTTTATGTTGGCGGTACTTATTAACTAGTCTCTTCATCATTTTGTTTTCACCAATCCTTTATCTATTATGTGATTTGTGCTTTTGATTAATTGGTATTTTATTTTTATTTTTCTTTGTTGGTCCTGAATTGATGAAATTTGAGCAAAGAAAGGTTTATGGATAAAATGCTTAATTTGATGCATTCTGTGAAAATATGGTAATTCGAGTTTAATAGTAATTATTTAATTTTCTAACGTTAATCTCCAGCTCAAGCTAGCATGATATTTTATTTATTTATTTATTCATATCTTTTGGATTGGTAAAGCAAATTTATAAAAAAAGAGGAATATACAGGGGAAAATGATATCTTGCAAATTTATTAATATGATATCTTGCTTTTGTTGGTATACTATCAATGTATCTGTTGCTTGATTCACTCTCTTGCCCTTGTTGCTTCGGGCAGTTCATGTCAAACTAGTTGTTGCCTAAGATATTCTTAGGAATGCTTTAAACTTGGTTTGCAGATCCCTTGGCCTGTTCTCATTCTGATACAGTTTTGCATAATTCTCTAGTGGGTCTTTGGTGTTTTGTGAGGAAATCGGTTGATACTCAATAGGCTGGAGCTTTAAAATCTTAAAATCTGCTGCATTGTGACTCTCACCATCTGATAAGACGGTGGAAGCTGGGTCACTTAAAGGCAGATTATTATTCCCTTAATTTTATAGATCAGACTACGTTAAAATGGGGAAAATGTTTGGTTTTGACATATAGAGTAGTATCCCTTATCTTACTTCAATCTCCATAGGCTGAATTGATGAAACAATCAACGATAAAGGGTAGCCACTTCACTTGCATTAGTGTTGGAATGGCTAAGAATATGTGGATGTAATTGCAAGATATGTGATCGATCAATTCAGGAGAAGGAAGGCAAGCTGAATTGAATACTTGTTCCTTCCAAGTTTCTATTCAACCAATTGGTTTGTGTGCGTGTGTCTGTGTTTGTGTGTGTGTGTATTTAGAATCTAAGTTTCTCAATTTTTTATTTTTTATTTTTATTTTTTACTCATGCTGCCATTCCCCCTTTTTCTGCAAATAGCCACAAAGTCCAATAAGGTTTCTATTTTTGGACAATTGATAATATATTATTAGACGAATGTTGATAAGAATCCTCTAATGTTAAGTTTGCTAAGACCAGTGTATTGTGGGCCCATGGCAATACAGGAATGGCAGATTAGTCCGTGGTGGATACATATTTGGCCTGTTATATTGGTTATTGCTCATGGGAGGAGGTTAGTATTCAATGGATTTATAAGTTATGCTTTCAATATTGAATTATATTGTTATAGTGTGTAACGAATCGCACACTGAAGATTCGACATGTGATGTTATTATAGCGCGTAACGAATCGCACTCTAAGGATTCAACATTTGTCATCCTATAGTAGTTGTGGATTTAGAGCATGTATTGTGTGGTTTCAACTTACTTGTGCATGAAGGTAGTCTTGTGTACCATTTTATACATATATAAGTTGTTAACTTATTTATTTTGGAGTCACTTGGGACATAGTTACTGTGATATGGCAAGAGTTTGGCTCTAGTGCGGGAGGTATGAGTTCTCCCCGTCGAGATAGTGCGCACTAGGGGTGGCATTACCAGCGGGTTAGTCCCCGTAATAGCCGTTGAGGTCTCGGCAGAATTCCGAGTTTAGATGTCTAAGTGTTCCACTAATTGATTTCGCACTTTTAGATTTCTAGTTGATAACCTAGAGAATCTATGTCTTGATGTGTGGTATTAGATATTCTAATTATACTAAATTACTATATTTAGTTAATTTTGCACTTTTAGATTTCAAGTTGATGACTTAGAGAATCTATATCTTATTGCTTGGTATAGCATGCTTCTATGGAGGTTAAATTGCATAGATATTGTGATTGTGTTTTGTTGTTCAAATGTAGCTTAGGAGTGATCTTATAGAGTTATTTGGAACATAGACATTAGGTGGCATGATCCACTTTGGTTGTTTTTGCACTTTAGATTTCAAGTTGGTAACTTTGAGAATCTATATCATGTTGCTTTGTATAACATGCTCCAATGTGGTTTGAATTGCATGGATGATATGATTGATGCTAGAAATGATCTAGGGTAGCTTAGGATGCTCCCTGAGTCTCATCCTGACATAGACGTTAGGTGGTATGAGCCCCTTTAGCATGTTTCACCTTAAGGTGATAAAATTGTAAAACGTTATGTCGATGTATGCTCATTTCCTACGAGTAGCTTTATGTTGCTCGCCCCAAAGTTACTGGGGCATATTTCTGGTACATGATACAAGATTAGAGATTCGCACTTGCTTTGGTGATTTGCATAATTGAAGTTTCTTTAGAAGTATTCTTGTTCACATGCAAGTGTTAGCATGTTTAAGTTTTGCCTATGAAATGTAATTTTTCTAACTTGGAGATTTGACATGTCAAATGTTGTAAATGAATTATAATAAGGCCATAGGCCATTTCAGCATGTTTAAAATGTTATTTTACACTTTCATGCATGTCCATATCATCACACACTTGCATACAATTCATTTTGATCATGCAATGGGGGATCCATTTGAGACTTAGGATTTTCTTTTCAGTTTTGGTGCTTAACAGGTTCATTCTTTGCATTTCTACCTGTTTTGGTAGACCGGTGGCTTGTTTTGGTCGACCGATGACCTTTAAATTTCAATTGAACAATAAAAGTTCAATTCTAGTAGCCAATTTTCACTTCGAGCCACAAACCAGTCGACTGGTTTATCATTTTGGTCGACCGAAATGAAGGCTCATTTCTCTTCTCTTCCTGGTCCATTTCGGCAGACCGAAGCTCCATTTCGGTCAACCAAATTGGAGCTGTTTTGTGGGTTTTTCTTGGTCAGTTGTTTCGGCTGGTTGGCTTTATTTGTTTGTTCCAACATAACCTTGTCGATCTTGTTTAAGCCATTTAATGGTGTACGTAGTCTAGTTTGAACTAGATCACATTCCTTTGGTCATCATGGGTGCCATAGAGTATCATTTGACCTTTTTATTCTAGTTCCACTTCTGGTTATTTCATTGAGCTTCATTACTTCATGGAAAGTCATTTGGGTGTCTTAGGGATGATTGATATCTCTACAGGTCTTGTTTTTGGTTTCTCTTCCGCATCCGGATCCTTTATCGGGTCAACTTTCGGTTCATCACTAACGCACCGGGTTGAAAAACTTGGGCCGTCACAAGTGATATCAGAGCTCCTAGGATTGAATACCTTGGACGATGGGTTTGGGTACATATCATGCTTATGTTGCCATGCTCTCCGTGTTTATATGCTTCCTGATAACATGTTGTGGTTTGACAATATGTTTATGTGCTTATATGGTATATATAGTATGGAGTTTGTTTAAGCATGATTTTAATTCTTACGTAAAGAGCATGACGTATGATGTATGCTAGATTAGATTTGTATATGCATAACTGTGTTGCATAGTTGGCATGACACGGGATTGGTCATTGAGGCACGAGTTGGGGTTGATGGTGATTATAGTCACAGTCTCGTGGTGGTATAGGTTGTTATCGACCCAGTATTGGTTTTTGGGGTAGGTGGATGGTCACCTTTTGTTTAGACTCTCGTGAGGTGAGTCATTTGGCGTTGCCGTAGAGCTAGATTTGTTAGTTTTGGTTCATGATGAGGTTATGGGCCTCTTAGTATCCTTGATTGTTCGGGATGATTCCTCTAGGATTGCAATTTTCGTGGGCGGGTACGTTGTGCGCGGGTGCATGGCATTGTCATGCTACCGTACTGGCTAGGTACAAGTACAATTCGGATGGAATTAGTGTTGGTTTTGTTTTGATAGGTGTTGTCCTTATGATCGATGATGATGATGGTTCTTTTAGGGGTCAGTCTAGGGATGTCAATTTTTACCGCCCCGCCGGGGCCCCGCCCCTTCCCGCCCCGTTAATAACGGATATGGGAACACTTGTTATACCGTTGGGGCGGACATGGATACAAATTTTGTACCCGTCGAGGGTTACGGGGCGGGTAAGGGTTCAATATACATATCCTAGGGGCCCCGCCCCGCATATAACTATATTTAATATATATATATATATATAGCTAATTACCCATCTCTTATAATCCTAATTTGGGATGTAAACTTGGTATTAAATTTGCTTTTGTTTTGGTTATGGTGGAAGTTGGAGTTTAGAACTTCTTGTGATTTGGTTGTATTAAACTTTTATTTTTGTTTATTATGTTCTCTGAATTATGTTATGTGCATGTTATTTATTTATTTTTTTTATTAGGATACATAATTTTATTTATGTTGTGTCATTCCTAGGCTTTGCACATTTAAATAGCAGGAGTTTAAGTTCCAAAAAGTTGGAGAAAAAAATTTGGTAGTGGGGCGGGCACAGGGGCACAGTATTTCCTAACGGGGCGGGGTTGGATATGAAAATCCAACCTGTCGCGGGTCTCGGGGCAGGCATGGACTTGACAAAAATTAAAAGGGGCGGGGCGGGATTTAAAGAAACCCGCTCCAAACCCGCCCCGTTGCCATCCCTAGGTCAGTCGTAGTGATTGATTTGGTTGTTGTTGATATGGTTATAGTTGTCATTTCTTTGAGTTCTCCTTGCGTGATGACGCTTTTAGGATCAAGTCGATTGATTGATACTTTGGGTAGAGAGAGCATTGCACTGTTAGTAGCACTTGTAGTGTCACCTTTAGATTCGGAGATGGATTGTTAGAGTCTTACCATTGTGGTAAGGGTTCACGTATGTTTTGAGACAGGTTGTTGTTGCATTGGTTTTTAGAGTCATTTTATGGTTAGGACTGGTTTTTTTTTTTTTTTTCCTTTTACTTAGAGACTCTAGGACACCATAGGGTTCATTGTGCATCATTTTTATCTTTTGCAGTTTCGTTTACTACCATGTTAGTAATAAGATTTATGTTATTGTGATGCGTGAGTAGGTGGAGGTATGTCCACATTTGCTTTCTCGTTGTGTGGCATTAGCATGCCTTCCTTATATGCTTAGAGATGTTATATTGTTACTTTATTTTAGTGACATGATTTTGTGCTTACGTGGAGACGTGCCGCATGTACCCTTGATTTTATCTGTATGAATAGATTTACTTTCTTGGTAGTTGAATTTCCTTGTTATTTGCATGACTTCCATGTTGAGTTTTTCCCTTTTGTTTCCCCCTCGGTCGCACGTAGTGTGTATGTGGGTTTCCATAAGGGTTTCGTTGTGAGATTCCTTGTAGAGGAGTTGTCACATTTATTTTGTCTTGAGCTACCCACTTCCTTAAGGTGGGAAGAATGCTCCTTTTTCTCGTTTGTCGTGTTGACACTTGTGGGAGGGAATAGGGTTTCTCCTCTTTTCTTGGTTTGAGTAAGGGGCTTTACATGGAGTGAGTCTCTTCTCTTCATTGTGTTGTGCACAGCTTTGGGGTTGGCTGGTCCGTAAGGACCACTATCATTGTCTTAAGTCCTTGGTGAGGATTTGGCGGATTTTGGTCGACTTACTTCCATGTAGGGGGTGAAGTCTTTGACATTATTGTCTTTCACTTCAGAGATGAAGTCTTGGTATTGTCCTTCTTAGGACTGGTGGTTTCCTTTCCTTCGTGTCTTCCCATGGGGAGTTTTTGCCGTGGTTGTTGATGAGTTGTGGTGCTTAGAGTGAGTGGGTTGGTGTGAGATCATTTTACAGGGACTTGTGTCCGTATCGTTAAGGATTTGTTTGATTCGTGAGGTGAGCTCGATGTTCTTTTGAGAATGTCTTTTGGAGACTTGCTTTGGTTTTGGAGATCTAGATGTGGTTGACTCTTAGGAGAAGTTTTTGAGGATCGCTGTTGGATATGGCTTATTTGTGGAGTTTTCTCATCCTAGTTATGACTAGGTATTGTTTTGAGGAATCATAGTTCCAGTGATTGTTTATGGATGGAATTAAGGAATTTTGACTTGACTTGGTATTGCTAAGTACAGTTTTGAGAGACTCATTTTGAGATTTTGATTGTTGTCAGAATTTGATATGTGTGCCACTTGATGGACTTGTGTTTTGAGGATTTAGTTATCCATGATAGTGATGTGGATCCGATGTTTGATTTCAGTGTAGTCGTGTGGTTAATATATTTCAAGGAGATGTGTAGGACTTTCGATGAAATGTCTTGTGATGGGGTTCATTGTGGTCTTTGGAGGTTTTGATTCGCTTGTTGGGCTTTGAATTCTTGGTTGATGTTGTTAATAGGAGTATTTTGAGACATTAGAGGTGTTGGTTTTATTGTATTGAGGA